ATAAACAAAACTCAGATTGATTTATAAAATGTTAGACTAATCTTATCCAAATTTCATTTAAAAATGTCTCCTAACAACTTACTAACACGACTCAAATTTTTAGCACGTAAATCTCTATGCTAGCGTTAAAAAAATGCACAGTAAAAACGACTAGTAAAAACTCAACAACTTAAATAATGTATTACAACTATAGCGTAATGTGCATAATAGCAATTTTTCTTGGCATACAACCAACTGTACAGATATTTTTGAAATACAGTACTGATTCCAAACGGTCTTGTACACTTTGAAATCACAAAGCCGGAACTAAATAAATTTGCTTCCGTGAACCCAAACTGTGAGTATCATGTATATATATATATTTGCAACTAGAGCAAGTTTTCAAAATGTCCACCACCATTTCGTATACACGCTTCCGCACGTCTAATCAATGATTTTTGGGTTCTGGTTATCATTTCGGGCTGTGCTCTAATTTCAGCAGCTAGATTTGTTATTCTGTTGAGGGTCCTCTCTATTTTTTTGGCATAGCCATTCACAAAAGCGAACTCTACGTGCCAGATCTTCTGGTTTCAAATGCTGAACTCGTTGTACATGATAGGGGTGTAGGCCTTGTTCATGTAGAGTTCTCCACACCACAAAAGGTGAAACTCCCACTCGGTAAGACAATCGTCTAATGCTTATACCTGGATCGTTTTCAACGACATTCAAAATTTCTTCTTCGGCATCAAGTGTCCGTTCTGTCCTTTCACGACCACGATCACTAAAACGAGGTTGAAATTTCCCATTTTCTCGTAGACGCTGAACAACGTTAGCAAATGTTTTATGATTTGGCAATCTTCGTTCGGGAAATGCTTCTTGGTATAAACGTCGAGCTTCCAAGGAGTTTCCTAAGGCTTGTCCATACATCAGAACCATGTCAGTCATTTCAGAATTAGAAAAATTCATTTTGTTCTTCCAAAAAATTGCAAAAACGTCAAAAAATGATGGGCTAATGAATGTATTGTCATGTTAACAAGCAACAATTTTACCTACTTTAAATTACTATAGTGATCAAATTTACCTTTAACATTTTTGGAATCAGTAGCGCACACGCAAATTTTAACAGATTTTCAGTCAATTTTATCTCGAAAACTAAAAGATTTTTATTAGATCAATATTTGATACATAAATTCTCTACATCATGACCAATTACCTTAAAAAAAGTTTCCATCTATTTTTAAAATAGCTGTATATACCAGATAGCCAACAGTAAAGTAAACTTTTAGTAATTACTTGGTTAACTTCGAATATTTATGTTTATACTTCGAAAGAATTCGACTATAATCACGTACAAGCATCAGCGACCGTATAAAAGGAAATGAAATTTGATTGTAAGCCAGAGGAGTGGACTGATTAATACAGCAAAAGGCTCCGAAAATTATTTTGGGGGAGGAACTGTAATTTTCGAATAAATGGCGTGAACCGTTTTTGATTTGATTAAAAAAAAAAAGTAAGAACGAGATTCGAACTCACTAGTGCAAACTGTATTCGAACGCTTTTAAAGCAGAACTAGTCACCTCCTGGCGCCGCAACCCAAGCAGATACAACGCGGTTGTTTACACGCGTACGTGGTACCAGTGATATACAACACACAGCGAATATTGCAGAAACATTTTTATAAAGTAATTATGATTAAAACTAAATGCGGATTCTTAAACTACAAGTGTAGGAGTATATGATTTTATAAAATATAAAAAATATGTTTTATTAAAAATTTTGAGGGGATGGCATTACGTTATTGGTGGGGATGAATTGACAAATTTTGGTTAGCGTTTAACCATGTACATGATGTTTTTAATATATATAATATACATACAAAATTTGACAACAATCGGTCCGGTAGTTTCCTAGATTACGTGTCTAATAAAAATGGGTACAGACGCCAGACAGGCAGACTGGCACAGACAGACAGACAGACAGACAGACGGATAGACGGAAACGGAAAACTACTTTTTTCGTACTCTAGGGATCATGAAACGTCGAGACAACATAAAAGTGTCCATTCGTTCGATCACAGTTTACATTTAAACTTGAACAATATTTATTAAAAACATTAAATTAGTCTTCTTTTTTTCTAATTATGTGGAAACAAATTTTATTATTTGCCCCAGTTTTCAACTTACTTGAATGTTGAGCCTATCTGTCGTTAGGTGTAACGCTGTCCGGACTTGAGTTTGTACTTTAAATATTTTTTCACTTCTTCCTGCCCTCATCTGTCTTCATCTAAGCTTCTTTTTTGATAACTAATCTGTGATATCGTCCTCTCCTAGTTCGTCTTGATCTCCTACCTCCACATTTTCCACTTCTTTTATTTTTTTGACTATTATTTTCTTGCATTCTTATTGTCCATACCAACCCAATCTGTCTTTCTTCAATTCCTTCTACGATTGGAGTTATGTTTAAATGTCAACTGAATACATTAATATGCATGTTAACTGTTCTCGGTTTTTTGCTACTTTTTTTCTCAGAAACGTCATCTCTGCTGCATATATCTTACTTATTTTACTGGTCATAGTCCAACTTTGATAAATTCCTTTTGTGACTCTTTGTGATGTTGCCTTTTTTGCCATATATGTTCTTCTTTTTGCTCTGACTAGTCTAGGAGATGGCTCAACTTTCTTCTTTATTTCCTCTTCAATTCTATTTTCAGCATTTATGATGAGCCCTCAGTAGTTGTATTTTCCACTTGTTCCACTTTGTTTTTTTTTACAAATATTAGTTTCCCGTTTCTTGTTCCGCTATAATTATTGTTTTTGTTTTTCATTTTCTTGTTATATGCTTGAATTGGTTGAAGTTCCCGTTTAGAATTTGCAATTAACACCATGTTATCTGCAAATGCCAACCCGTTAATTTGTATTGCTTACAACTTTCAATATCCTACCTGATAATCTGTTAGCCCTGGCTTGGTGTTTTTCATTGCATCTGTTACCAAAATAAAAACAGAAGGGGTGCAGTTACTGCCTCTACACCGATTTTTGACCGCTTGTAAGTATAATTTTCTGTGGTATTCCTCTTTCATTTAAACCATATCATCTTCAGCCTGTCGAAACCTTAGTCTAAACCTGTGTAACATAGATGTCTTTCTTCTTTGTTTTTGATTGCTCTCCTTGTGAATTCCTTGTAAGCTGTGGTTATTCTTGTTTATTACATATATTTTTATTCGGATTTTGTTATTGAATTTTTAAATATTCCCTACAGATCTGATCTCGTTGGGAGCTTTTTCTATTTGCTTTTGCTATTTAATTCTAGTTCTATTTATATTCTTCAAGTCATAACTCCTTACTTTTTCTCTTTTACTTGTTCATTTTCTCGGGGCTCAAGTTTTTTTCTAATCGTAATTTTGCTTTTAACAAATAATGATCACTTCCAGTTTCGTGACCACAACAAACACTGACATATTTCAATTTGTCAGAGAATGAGTAACATTTCGTTTTCCCCTTTTTCTTCCATGGTATCTTGTGTAACTGTGGTCTTATATTTGAATGTGGTATGCTATATATAGTTGCTGGTGCCTATTTTAATCCTCTATTACTTTTACCCATTCTTCCATTTAGATCTTCTCACTTAAGTACATCATAAATTACGTTTGGGAACTAAACTCCTAAAATTCATAACACTTTCTTCTTTTTCTCAGTTAAATTTATTATTATTTTAATTCACCAGTTGTGTTGATGTTTCCCTTTTTCCTGCCTCGTTCTCCTTGCTCTACATTCCTCTCCATATTATCCAGTACCCATTGTGTATTCCTTTACGCACTTTACCTTTCCTTGTTATTTCTGTAATCCCATGTATACTATTCCTCCTCTTTTTTGTTCCTTCTTTGTTTGGCTGCTAGGTCTTCTGTTTCGCTTCGTTTTTTAATTATAATCAATTTTTTAGCTTCTTATTATTAAAGTTTCCCTGAATTCGTCTTTCCTTTCGTCCCAGTCCCAATTTTTAATGTTTGTAGCTAGGTAGCTATATGCGCGACTTTAACATAGTTATCCTTGTTCTTTTGTCCGTTTCCTGATGTAAACTTGTATCTCGGTCTCTCTTTTTGTCTTGCCTAAATCTATGGTTACTTCATGATCTTTTATATCTGTTAGCATGTTTTTATCGTCGAGCATGTTTAGTTTGTCTATCATGTCTTCGGCCTTTATCACACATTTTGTTGCCTATTTTACCCACATTTCTTAATTTGATGTTTATTTCTAACTGCTTTCTTATGAACTCTTCTAAAGCTCTGCTTTTGACATAATTTGTATTTACTGTTACCCTTTGATCACTAAGTTTATATTTTTATATCTCTTTCTATTGTAGCTTGTTTTGGTTCATTAAGTTCATTCTCTTTCAGTTCATTAATCGCAACTAAACTTTCTTTTTGTCCTTTCTTTCTTCAACATTTTATCATGCCATACTTAGTAACATCTTTTTGCTTTCCTGTCGTGATATGGATGATGTTATTCTTGTTAATTTCCTTTTCCTAAATAGTTCATCCACTTCTTTATCTCAAGTACGGCTCTCTAGGTCCTCGAAAACTTTAGTTCGCAAAGGAGCCATAAAAGAGCTCAACCTTTTAAACTAGTGTAGTTGATTCAAATGCACTAAAAATAGAGTACAGTGCAAAAGAATAAATACACGCTAAATTTACTGTAATTATTTAGTTTTATCTCTAAAGCAACACTTTTTTTCGAAATATGCAGAAATTTCATGTTCTTTTAAATCCCCTCTCTCTCGATAGCTTCAAGGTATCGTAAAGATGAAAGACGATTTTGTGAAACTACACCATAGGTGGGCCGACAAATTTTATGATAAATGCCAGCGAGGGGCAAAAAATCTGCTTAGAGGCAGTTTACCGACTTTGCATAAATAGTTGGGGATATCGATTACCGAACCGTCCTTCACCCCTCACATAATCTGTTGAAAGCCTTCTCTTGTATTCCAGCTCCGGTACATTAACAGCAACGCGTGTTTTGTTACAGGGCTTCGTACTTAACCACAACATGTCTGGTCGCATCATCCACAGCAACCAAAGTTTGGTTCTCCAAAAGGTAACCAGACAAAGCGCCGGCCGATACGTCTGTTCTGTGGTGAACAGCGAGGGAGAAACGCTCAGCAACGAACTCAACTTCAGAGTACAATGTAAGTGCGTCTTAGTTCGGCATTAAATTATTAACAACAAAGCGGATTCGAAGGCGTAAACCAATTATTATCATTATGTGTGTTCGATTCGGACACTGGATAGGTGCTCTGCGAAGTTTAAACGATCTTAGGAGATTAGCGGTGTACCGTTAGGAAGGACGTTAAGTTGGTTCAAACTTCGGAACTTATTATACGCGGCTAAGCTGGGTAACAGGCTAAACGCACTTATGCTAGTGCCGATTAATCTCGCTGTAGATCAGTTTTGATGCATTTAGGTTGAATGTAATAGCGTCCTGACCGTCAATATGTACGCCGCAGCCTTACATTATTGATGGATTAGTGAAATGAGAACACTCCATTGACGATTAGAAACGTTAAAATGGCGTCACCGGGGTGAATGTGAGTACGCAAAAAACAAATTAAGGAAAGTGATTCTTTTTTCAACTGGGAGGAAAGGTCTGTTGGATAAACAGCTTTCTTAATATGTTTTTTAAATATTTATTTCCAATATTTCAAACTGTAATTGACAAACAACTAAGTTGTAATGGCGGCAACAAGTTTTCTTGATTGCAAAATTTTCAAAATTTCGGTTCATTGAAAACCTTCAATATGAAAAATTAGGCAATAAATAAATTTAAGTTGGAATCTTCTTCGATCACTCGATGCCACGATACATTGTAACCCGAAAACACAAACTTACAAAAATTGTCGACGCGTTTCACCAACTATGTTGTTATTATCTCGACGATACTAACCTAAAGTGGAATTACAACTACGCTATCCTGTCCTACCTACGTAGTTCCTTCCACTCTCTCCCTTCTCTGAATCCACAAAGGCGCAGTGAGACTAGTTCGGCATGGGCCCGCAATCTGAATTCGTTACATAATATTTGTTTTCAAATATTTCTAGACTTTGGTGAATGTCTAGCAATTTATATATTTTAACATACTTAACTTTTTTTAAACAGTGTACGTCTATGCAGTGGCCATTCTCCAAAACATGGAATTTTGATTGATTTACTCTTTATTATTCAAACTTTTCGACCTTGAGGTGAGCCATGTGTTCTTGAATCGCATGATGAACGATTTCTTTCTTTACCCAATATATTTTTGGTTACAATCCTTACAACTTTTTTTCATAAATCCCCAACTTTTCATTAGGCCGTACTTTATCCTTTAGGTTTCCAAGACGGGTTTGAAGATTCTCTCAGAACCTTAATACCAAATCCTCTGAAAACTTTTTCTAGTCCTTCTGTTACTAAAGAGGAAGAAAGGATTGTCACAAAAAACTTTTCTTTTAGGTTTTCTACCTAAGAGTAGATAATTCAATGACCATTTTCTTAAATTTAAATTTAATAATTTATCGACTAGTCCTCCTTCAAGACACTTACCTCTGCCGACATCTTTAATGATTTTAACCTCTTTGTTGAATCTATCCAAAAAATTGCCTTCCAGCCCTAACTGAACTACAACGTGACAACAATTCTGCGTTAATTAACGAATTTAATATGAGAAAATCAGTAGGTGAATCTAACGTCAAATTGATATACAGGAACGATATGGCTTCGATTGTTGGAAATAAGAAGAGTGGAAAAAGAAGCAAGCGGACAAGCTTAAGGTGTTATGTGTACTTTCAATATGAATTTTCGTAAAGACCGCCGCAATATGGCCGGTGTAATTTTTTTGCATGGGATTATCAATGGCTACATTAACAATCCTGATTTATTAAGTAAATTATGGTTTAGGGTGGCCTCAGCAAACTCCAGAAATACACGTAGCATAGTTCTGTTTCGTATCCCTATATACTGCTCTTCTAGATCTGGAAAACACCTTTCGCTGCGTGTAATTTCCCATTGTTTAATACAACCAAAGGGAAGTTTAAGAATAAAGTAAGAAATTTGCTAACCTCTTAACTTCTTCTAAACTTGTTAGAAAATACATATTCAATTCTATGTATATGTTACAAAATGGTTTGCTAAATTTAGGTATATTTAAACAGCTCATTCTATCTATTTTGTTTTTTTTTTCTGCTTTTTTGGGAAGTTAACTTTTAGTCATTTTTGTGTTTATTGTCTAATTTTCATGTCTTGGGTCTTTTACCATTTAATCATACTTATTATAAGGGATATCCCGTTGATTAAATAAAAAAAAATAAAAAAACTGAGGCTTGTCTTTTTCTGGAAGTCAGAGAATATAGTGGTGTCGTTTCTATAAAAACCAAATTCTAACTTAGTACTAGTCTATCAAGGAAAGGTAATTTCCCGTTGTTCCCTTCTTTTTCAGTGTACCTAATGCTGCTGAATTGACTGTTTAAGTTGTTGACAAAATTTTTAAAGTCATATTTACATAATTTGGTTCAATTTTATAAGTTCTGAAGTATATTTCGACTTTTTTTTGACGATTTTGATCGACACGATGTACTTCCGGTATGCAGAATGGACTTAATTTGCCAAAAGGAGACGATCGAGTCAATTTTTCACATTCTGGCATTTATAGATTCAACGCTTCATACGTATATAAGTATATAGACGTTTATTAATTGAAGATATTCTTTGTTACAATTTGTTGTTCAAAGCTGTTTTTGATCAGTAATTCTTCTAAATAGATTAAAGTTTATGTCACTTGGAAAATAAGAACTAACATCAAACGAAACTAATAAGTTCCTCTTTAGGTTAGTATTGTCTAGATAATGCCAACGTGGTTTGTGAAACGCGTCCATAGTTTTTGTAATTGTAATTTGTATTTTCGGAGTTAAAAAACAATAAAAATTATGTTGAATTATTCTGTTATTCTTGGCAACTTGTAGTCATAACAGATGATTTTAATCTTGATTTTAATGAAAAAATCGAAAGTTATCCAAATTCATAATTTTGGTATTAATTAAAATCTTCTGTCCATTATATATATACATTGCAGTACACATGAATTCTTGTCTTGCCAACTTTTCAACTACTTTCGACTAAGAATATGTTTTATTAGGTATGTTAAAAGAATCAATTTAGTTACTAATTTTTGCTTCTGTGCCGTAAAGGATGGTAACATCCAACAAATAATTGGTTATGCACTTACTGCATATGGTTTATTTACTCTTCATCAGGTTATTGAATGGACTGACTAGTCCTTCGTTTATGGCACTAATATACAGCGTGTTATTGAAAGGTACGTACAAAATAAAATCGACAATTTGCCTCGAAGTATGAGTGCTAAAAGTAAAAAAAGTTCATGTAAAAGAGATAAAAGTTATTAAAATTTATGTCCAAATTCATTGTACGCCTCTGATAAAAAGATCATCTTTCATTTCTATAGCAACATTTAGTCTTGACAAAAGTTTTATTGTTACAGTTGCTAGGATTTACTAAAATAAATTAATTTTACCTATTTATCCTTCAGTAGCGTCTAAAAAGGTTGGATAAGGGTTAATTTTTTCCTTATAATTTTGATAACACAAAATAAGTTTTTCAGACTTCTTAGACTTCGCGAATAACTGTCAATTTTGTTGTACGTACCTTTTAACAACACCCGTATACATGTAACGGTTAATGATAAATTTGATTTTTTTTTTATTTTTGCTTGGAAGGGCTGTTTAACAAAACATTGTACCACGAATTTTACCTAGTGAGAAGTTTTCCCAGTTTCTTGCTATAATGAAAACCTAAAGCATATGAGAAATGAACTTAATTTTTAAATGAATTTGGTAATAGTATATTATGTTACAAGTTTTATAAGCATCTCTTTATACACAAGATTGTTTAAGTACAAGCGAAGTGAGTGTTGAAAAGACAATTGTCTAGACAAGTTTCTAGGTGTGTCACATGCATCCTTTTTCTAGTAACATGAACATCAATAATTATGGTTTTGTTAAACTGTTAATTCTACTCACAACGCAGAGCTCAGCATTGATGATTCTAAAAGATCAAACATATTATTAACACAATTTAGCCTGCAGGGACTTTGTTTAAGGGCAGTAAATGTCAACCACAGAATCTATCAAAATCGTTTTTATTTGGTCAGCAGCAAATTATTCATTGTCGCCGCAGTCGCATTTGGCAATTCAAGCGGTGTACAATGTTCTATTTTAAAACAAAACCAACAAAGATCAAAATGTGAAAATTTACGAACTATAGATTTGACAAAACCAACTTCCGTGACTAGAAACAGCGCGGCTAACTTCAGTCCGTGGCTTAGGTGGCTGTTTAGTCACGGCTCATGTTAGAAACTAAAACCTAAGTTAGCACCGTCAAGATGACAACTTAAAATTACCTTTTAGATACGGCAGTAGAAAAAGCAAATAGTAACTCAGTTGTTCAACTAAAAGAGACGAAAGAGCACTATAGAGCTGAAATGCAATTTGCAAAGAAACAAGCTTATAATAAATTAATTTCTAATACAAAAGACCAGCCGTCCACAATGTGACAACTAATAAATCACTCAAAAAATTGGTCCCCAAAACCTAGGGTGTTCTCCTACTTTATTATTTAGTAAATATTTTCATCAAATTTACTAAAGATTTACCACGCACAGCGAGTAAGAATGACTTACTTACCTGTTTAAAACTCACTGGATTCTGCTACAGCCTGAACAATTCTTCAACACAAATCATTTACAAACTTAAGACAAAAGTGCAAATAGACGGTGGTTCTAAGAGATAGCAAATAAAAGTCTGTTATCAAGTAATCAAAAGTCATTGCTGTCCTAAAAACATTCAGAGTGTTTTTTTATTGGATCTCGATGTGCGTTTAATTACAAAGTAATGTTCAACTAAAGATGAGAGCAGTGGGCTCTCGAAATATGTATCGGCAATAACTCCATCTTATTTCTACCCCTTTAAATAAATTGCAAAATTCTATTTTGAGTATAACGAACTTCCACTACCTTCAAAAGTAAAATTATCCTGTCCAATATAATTTAGTTCTAAATGGGTCTAAAGCAGATATTTACATACTTTTCACTCAAAAAACTTCCTGAACACTTAATCCAGATCGGATCAAATTTTTGGGTGTA